CATTACACTGTAGTGGACACCAACCCCACTCCAAAGCACTCTTAACACCTGGCTTCAGCAGGGAGGAAAACACTAAAGGGTTTTCCCTGCAAATGCCTTTCATTCCAGGTCTGATATTTTCAGTAAGTGGTCCCTAGAGAATATTAGCACCCTTCATGTTAATGTGAAATCTGTTCCCTTCCCAAAGCCAGGCTGCACTGCAGCCCTTTGGTCAAATCCAAAACAGCATCCTTGCCAATGGGACACACTGGACAGGACTGACTAAAGCGCAAACAGGATTTGTGGCTGGTTGTAGAGGACTTACCAGCATACTGGCTCAGACTCCGCTTTGCATGTGGAATCAGAACCTGGGAGTTCTAGCAGAGATTCTCTAAGACTTCAGATTCCTGCTTCATTTTCTTCACAAGACAGGATTTTACTGCATTTTTCCCAGCTGGGCCCAGACTGCAGTCTCACTTTGCTTGCCAGGAACCAGAGTAGCTTTGAAAATTGGACCTACTTCTAAGCAGTAGAAATGAGGTCTGGATGCAGCAGTCAATTTTTAACCAAAGGCTGTTCTTTGGAGTGGATGATTTTCCTTATTGCTTGACTTTTATCCCCTATCTCTATCCTGTTAGGAAAGCCCAGACAATTGGGAAAAGCCAATTTTAAGAAAACTTCCTTAGAACTGGGTTTCCTGAGGAATTTCCAGCTACGCAATAAGCTGCAATTTCCCATTGAACAGCAAGTTCTCAGTCTTGAGAACTCTCAGCTTCTCTCAATAATTGTAATCTCTTAACATGTCAGCCTGCGAGAGAGAAGACAATTTGGAGCAGCCTGCAGGCACACACACGAGAGCAAGACATGGTGGAGAAAACATTCTGCATGAATGCAAAGGAGACTCATGCATTCAGACAATCTTCCTGGGCTTGCTTGTCTGCAGGGTGCCTAAGGGAGGAGCCAGCAAAGAAACAACCAAGCCAAAGGATATCAGCTTCTCTCCTCCAGGAGGCTGGATTGTCATCTATTTTGTTTATTTCAGCTCCCATACCCAATTTCTTTGAATTGCACCAGTAATTTTTAAGACAGTTTTACAGCTTAATACCCCTTGCAGCTCTGCAGGGTCTGACAGACTGCTGTGTGTTTTTTGAAGGTCTGAATTAACTCTATCATGACTTATAGCAGCTTTCTTGGACAACGGCACTGTTCCATCCATCTCTGGCTCGCGTTTCAAGCAGTGGCAAGTAGTGGTTGCATAAGGAGAGGCTATCAGGGCAGTAGCCCACCCCTCACAAGCTCATGCCCTGGTGCTACAACCCATTCAAGGTTTGGAATACAGCAGAAAAAGCAGCATAGGATAGTTTCTGTTCCTATCAGCAAAGCAGCTGTATTTCAGGTGAGCTCTATTTTTAGAGGCTTGTCTAAATCTTGCCAGGCTCTGCTGAGTTCTTAGCTTTGGCCGGGGGGGGGGAAGCAAAGACATTGATGAATTGGCCTCTGAGCACCCATCAGACCTGCATCCAGTCACAACAGGAAAGGGAAGCAGTATGGGGCTTGTAAGTTCCTATCAGAAGAGGCTGCCTGACCCCACTTCAAGCACAGCTGCGTGAGTGCTGGCCAAGCTATGCTCTCTGCTCACAGCCTGGAATTCAGTAGAGAATGAGGCTGATTTTCCATCAGCCTCAATACCCAGGTGACAGCTCCGCCGGCCTCCTTCTCTGATGAGGGGCAGGAGAGCAGAGCTACCAGTCGTCTTATTTTTACCCTCATGCCAGCAGCCTTTGAGACTAGGGAAGCTTAGTTTCAGAATAAGTGTAGTCTGAAAACTGGCATGCTGGGAGGGAACAGGTTCAGCACCTACAGCAGAAGAGCACAACTGGACCAGTCTGGCACAGGGATTTCCAGAGTCCCGCTATAGAGGTCATTTCTTTGGTCCAGGCTGCCAGAAAGGAACTGACCTTTGGTTTCGGGGTTTAGAACTAGACTGCCACTAGGTAGGCTTTGCTGAGGGCTCACTTTTCATCTGAAGCTTTTCACCCTCCCTCAGTAATAAGGCAAAAACATCTGAGCAGGAACAAGGCTTCAAGCACAAAAAACAATCACCCTTTTTGTCCAAACCCAGCAAGGCAGCTGGGGAGTGAGTGGGAGGAAAGGGAATAACTCCCTGTGCTGTCTGCAGGGCTCCTCCAGCCCAGCTGACCTTGGCTAGCTCACTCTGTGCTCCTGTAACGCTTGGCAACTTGTCCCCCCATGCTGGTTAGCATCTGAGTGGGGATTTTCTCTCCAGCCTCCACGGCAACCCCTGAAAGCCCTTGGTTTACAACTGTTCTCCTCCCATATGCCCTGCCTCTCCTTTTCACAGGTCATAGCATGGGATGAGCTGTGAGTCAGATCTGAGTTCCTCCTTCAAGGCACTGATTCTTCATTTTCCACGTGTTCAGCAAGTTCTAGAGATGTAGATGCCTTGTGGATGCAGGCTTTGGTGCCTACAAGCCGCAGACAGGATGAGACAATCAACATGCTGCCCCACACAGCAAATGCTGGAGAAAAGTACTACCTTCTGTCACATTAAAGCCAACACCACACCGAGCGAGTGGACATCAGCGGAGTCAAGCATAAAACCAGACAACAAGCTACCACCTTCCCCTACCCCATATCACCATATCCCACAGTCTTTCCACGTGGGAGTCTGGCTTTTCTGGCACAAAAGAGCAGAGCCAGTCAGGCTTCTGGAGCAAATGAAGACGCTTGCAAGCTCAGGAGGGAAAGCACGCAGAGCAGCACATGCTCTGTGCCTGGGCAAGGCTGGCACTCCCCACACAAACCAACACTCAGGAGCTGGCAAGAGTCTCACACGTCCTTTTTTTGCCATCACAGGCTCCATTTGAGGTCAGTCGTTTTATAAATTAAAAGGGTAGAGGAGGGCTGCTGGGATTTCCAAGGACTGCGCAGTAGGCTTCCGTCTGCAGGCTGAAGGTAAACTTGCTGCTGAGAGTCAGGGACCAATTCCACCACAGGCCACCTGATGTAGGCAGAAGCCTAACTGCATCTGATGCCGTGTGACAGTCAACATGTGGGTGGCCTATTGGGGACACAAGCCTGTATTATTCAACTTGAATTCATTAATGGAAAGAGCCATACTGAGATCTGAGAGGGTGGGACGAACTTGCTGAAATCTAAAAGTAATGAGAGGGGAGGGGAAAAGACATCCTACCAACAGCAGGTTGCTGTTTACAGTTGAAAGAAGGCAGGTGGGGCACAGGGTCCTACATTAGAAAACTGGTTGCATAAACAAGCCTGAAGGAAACAAAGGGTTCTGCTGGGAAATGCTATGTCTGACAGCTATCCTTTCCTTATTGCCAAGTCCTGCCAGCCTTATACTCCTCCCACGTCAGACTAGGGAAATAGTTGCAATTCCAGTAGTCCATAAAGAAAGAGGTGACTTGATGCATGCAAAGCAATCAAAACAATTCCCATCTATTTTGGGGATAAGAGACTTTTGTTCTAGAGCTGGGTGCTGTAATGCCTGACCTAATGATGAAAGAACAATAAAAGCAAAAATATTCCCCTGCAAATAAGTGGTACAATTAGACAGAAATATCCTCTCTGCTCTCCACCCTTCCACGGAGGCACAGGCTCCCTCTGCAGAGATGAATTTGTTTCTTCAGTCAAGAAAGAAGAGACAGGTGATATGAATGCAGAACTCCATCCAGCCACCCACCAATGGAAACATCATACACTTTCTCTCTCTGCAAAAATACTTAACCAAAGCTTCTCTTGTTTAGCAGGCTCTATCCGTAGAGTTTCACATCTCACACCCAGCCCTGGTCCCTGCTCTTCAGCTTCCCGCAGCAAAGATGGTGAGCACGGAAGGCTGCACCACAGGCTTTTCAGGAATACTCTCTCTAAGCCACCAGTCCTGTACATAGGTCTATGCATGCTTAATTTAAGAGCAGAGAATAATTGCCATCATTCATGAGTTTTCTTAGGACTCTGGGAAGCTTGTAAACACTTGGGCATACATTACATAAACATTTGGACATCAAGTGTGTTGGAAGAACTAGAATTGGAATTGCAATCCATGGCAGTGGAGTACTTCACCAAGCTTGCTGCTCTCAGTTAGCAATACTGGTAATTTATTTACATTTACAGGGCTTTTTAGTTTAATTTTTCATATTGGTAGGATTATCTGGCCCTAGTCACACCCCTTACATCTCTAATTAGATCTTGCATATAGTCAACTTTAACAGCAAATGACCTAAAGCTCCACCACTAGATAGCACTGACTATCTCCCATACCTTAAACTGGAACATGGAGAACTAGAAAAACGCTGCAGATATTTCCCACTGGATTAGTCAGTAAATATATGACTAGAGCCACCCCAAAATACCCTGAAATAAATGTACTTGTCCTAGCAGTCTCCCTGGCTGAGCTCTGACTCACCCCTTTAGCGTTTTCAACTAAACACACCTCGCCTTCTACCCCATCATCTGCTCAAGTTACCTGAGGACTGCCACTGTCAACCTTCTTTACAAGGTAGTTCTTACCCACGTCTGTTTCAACAGATGCATGAAGTAGCATCAAATAGCACTAAGTAACAAATATATGCTGACATCTGGATCTGTGACTACACTCCTTACTTCCCTACAGGAGAGGAAAGAGAAATCAATCAATTAAGAAGCATTACTCGGATTGGAAAGGAATTTAAATCCATTGTGGGGTTTCTGAACAGATTAGCTTTGTGGAAGTCTGCCACTGCAGCAAATTCCTATAGAATGGTCCTAGAAACCGCTCAAAATGTGACAGGTCACTGGGAATGCCACTAAACATTCAGAGAAATAGCATGTCAGAAACAGCAACATAGAAACAGCTAAACACACACTAACACCGACCCACATCTCTATAAATGTTTATACTCAAATCCCGGTCTTTACTGAAAATGTGAAAATTTGCAGTTCCAGCCATTCCTCCGCTTCCCAGCTGCAGTACTGAACCATGTAAGAAATGAAGTCATACTTACCACTTCCACAGTCATTTTCCAAGAGAAGTAGCCGGGAAGCTTCGTTCAAATTGGGCTGCTCTGAGTGTGGGGTCTGCCCTAATCGCTTGTCCTGCTTGCGTGTCTATCATGCAGAGGAAGTCTGGCAGATCCTGTTTAGCAGCGTTCTCCCACACATGAGGCTTTTTCTGCCTCTGCACCGCTTCCTGGCACCTGTCAAGGATATTGCTGTTCTGGTATTTTCCCCATGAAAGGCACTCAGAAGTCAGTTAGAGCTTCTCTTTTCATGTGCTCTCTTTCCTCATCTCTGTGACAAGTTCTTGAGAGGCCATTGCAAGCTTGTCAGGAATGGAGATGGTGCATGAAACGTGATGGAGGGGTGTCACAGAGGGGTAAAGAAGAAAAGCAGATGCAGAATGGAACTGTGAAACTGAAAAAAAGGGGCCTTTTTTTTGCAGTCTTCCCCTGAGGCTGTTTATGTTATTGCTCGCATCATTATGCATGTAAGCTACCAAGACCTTCTCTCCTTGTGCAGAATTCCCTGCAGATCTCCAAAGCAGCGGTGAAGCTCTGGGAGTTCTTCATTCTTCTCTCCTGGGCCTTCAGACTAGGCTATGGCTGTATGTGAGGAAACACCCTTTGCCCAATTTTCACCAGCCTTTGATAGCTGGAGAACCTAGCAAAAACAGTCTTTCCAACCCTATATTTTAGACCTCTGACCCTAACTGGAATCAAACATTTTCCAGTATTTTAGATCAAAAAGCAGACAGTTTTAGTGCAGTGATTCCCAGACTCTTTCGTGTTATGGTTGTTCATTAATCAGTGATGACAAGACTTCTCTGTGTTGCAGTTTTGGAAGGAGCATGAAAGCTGGAGACAGAGCCTATGTCATGTAAGCTGCAGTAAGTATCCTAAATCCTTCTGTAGCAGACATAACCGTGTTAAAGAGGATGCCAGCAGGAATGCAAAGACAGATATGTCCTATGGTAGACCATAGCAAGGCACTCTGCATGTGAGGGGTCTCAAGCCCAAAGAGAAATTTTTTCATTTCTGGTTGTGAATGATCTAGACAGTGGGAGGAACTCCAACAGTGACCTCATGAAAATGTCTTGTGCCAGAGAAACACTTGGCCACGCTTTGGAGAGAATTTTTCTTGTCTCCAGAATGTTCATGGGGTTTTGCTGAACAGCCATATCCAGCAAGATCAACAGTGAGACGGTGCATCTGTTCTGAACAGCCACTGCCCTGGGGTACAGATAGGTACACAGGAGAACAACCTCTCTTGTCTGTGTGAGCCTCAGGCTGGATTGCTTTCTTATATCCTTCTAGTCTTTCTTAGGACAAGAAAGGGGACTTGCTGGTCTCCAGGTTTTCCTTCTAACCATCATTAGTAGGAGACTGCGAGTTACTGTGCAATGGTTCGGATTCACGTTCATGATGACAAGAGAACCTGCTGCTGTAGCACTCGGCATTTTTTGCTGATTGCAAAGCACTCGGCAAGCTGCAAAATACCGTGTACTGATTCCAGAGAAGATTGCAGTGTAGAGTACCCTTCTGCTACCAACAGCAACAGCCTATAAAGAGAGGCAGCTGGGGGCTCCAATACTGTTGCCTTGGGATTTGACCTTTATTTAAGCCCACAGATACAATGTATATAATTCCCTTTTTGCATCAAACCCCTGTATTGAAAAGCTGGCAGCTATGCTGGGATGAGGGTTAACTTTCCATCATTGACAACCATTATCCAAAGTACCCTTTCTGGTGGAAATGAGGGAATTCTGCTGCTACAACATTTGTACTCCAAGAAATCTCAAACTGTATTTTTCCAGCTTATGTGTAACAAAACCCCCTGTTCTCAATCACTGCTATCTTGATGAGACAACCCCGAAGGTGCATCGCACCCTTTGGCTACATTTGTGTGGCTAAAACGATGGCAAGGAGCAACAAGAAGTTAAACGATCAAGGCAAGCCCCAAAAAGCCCCATGAACAAAAGGCCCTTGATCAGAGAAGCCAAGGAGTTGAGGTGAGTTCCACCCACAGTACCTTTGCAAATCCCAAGGAAACCTGATTTGCCAAGTGCTAACAGGAATGGTCTAGCCCATGGAGACAGGCAGGCACAGAGCCATGCCTAGCTACTGAGAACAAACTAGAAAAATAACAAAAGTTATCCACACCCTTATTCAGCTGCATGACATCCTTAATTGCAACAAGGCAAAAGTGTTTTCTGTCTTACCCCTGCTCACTCTATTTATGTAGGATATGGAGTATTGCATTTTTAATAAGAAGTAAATCAGAAGGCTGAATGAACTCTTTCCCTGTAACCTGAACTAAAAACCTCTTGTGGTCTGAAGTCTGACTGATTGATTTCCTCTCTATGCTTCTTTTTTTTCCTCCAGATTTCTAAGTATCTGGAGTCCAGTTGTGGCTAGAAAGCAGATGCCAGAATATCACAACCAGAGTGTTTGCCTGGTGCATTTGGCTCAGATGGAGCCAGGAAGCAACAGCGAATTAAATGGCAACTCCATGTCCCACAGCAGTGTGAAGTGCAGCTGGTGCCTGCAAGAAAAGTGGTCTTTGTAAAGGCATCTGTCCCCAAAAGCTGATACAATTCCACCCTCCCTGTCCATGGGTCAAGACCTCATGAGGGGAAAAGCAGTGTGACAAAGGAAAGCCATCTCCAAGAAGAAAGAAGAGCTATCGAAAAGCAGTTTGCGGAAAACTGGTTGGATCTTTTCTCCCCTTCCCATGTACTGTTATGGTAAAGCCTGAGTCTTTAGCAGGAAAGCCAGTCCCTGAACGTGCTGCATGGCTGAGCTCATTTCAAGAGATAAGGATGTTTATTTTCCAGCTGGACTCAGCTAACACTTGTTTCTTTGAAATATGAGTGCTGTGTGAGTGGAAGGACTCTGTTTACATCTCAGCAGCAGACATAGCTTTTGCAGATGATTTAGGAAGGCTAAGGGATCCAGGATGGCTGAAAAGGTGGGACTCTCAATGTAAGGGCTGGTAGCCAACATGGGACCACTGTCACCACAGCTAAAATAGAAACCAAAAAGAAACTCTCCCTGCTACCACTGACCTCGAGGACAGGCTAGATCACAGCAGTCTGAGGACTTTCTAAAGCGATTGATGTGGAATGGCTGAACTAGGCCCCCATGTTCTTTTCCATGGCAAGCGTTTCTTCACTTTTACCACCACTCCCTCTAAGCTCAGCCACTGACCAGCTGCAGTGGCCTTGAGGAATTTTCCTCTGGGTGCCCCATGATGCAGGGCTCTTACAATCCTTCGCTTCTCGCATGTGCTGTAAAATACTCTTGCAGACCAGGCACTGTATTTTTTACTGCTAAACAAATGGGTCATATCAAAACCGTATCCAGAAGAGTTAGTCATGCTGCTTGAATACCTCTCCCTCCATGTACGTCCCCACACACAGATCCACACGCAAAAGGAGTGACATACGCAGCCTCAGAGGAGCCCTGCTTAATGCTCATGCACGTGGCACCAGATTTCAAGATAGGGACAGTGTCCTTCAAACTGGACAATAACCATTTCTGTAACTCTACTAATGTCTGTGGGAACGGGTTATGAACAGTCTACACTGGAACACTGGCTCAGCAACTCTTTCCAAAATGTGCTAAGCAGACCCCCAGCCTCAGCATCACAACCAGTGCTAAAACAGCCTGGATCAGTGAGCAGAAGCTGGTGAGGAGTCAGGAGGACTTTTCAGGAACAAAGCAGATATTCTTGGCTTTCAGCAACAAGAGGCTTACGTCGGGGAGGAAGTCTGCTCCCCTAGTTTCTATTTTTACTTCTGCTCATCTGTTTAGGGTCTAGGGCTTGGTTTCCTTCACTCTACACTATGTGCTTGGGAAACAATGAAAGCAGGCGCAAGTGCAACTGGCAGCAACTGAAAGCAGAGGAGCAAACCAGACAGCACCACTGTTTTCCTCACTAGTTTGTTTGGGATTTTTTTTGCCTTGCTCCTTATCTCTCCCTGAGGGTCACGCAAACCATTGAAAACCAGGTCCAGCCCTGCACGTCCTGTCTACTTTATACCTGCTGGAGGATTGCCCACCGAGTCTCACAGGGCAGAAGCACGTCAGTATCTTCTGGTTTGACCCAGCAGTCCTTCCCAGTATGGTTTGCTTGGCCTTTATGATGCTGAGCCCACCAGTTGCGCTGACAGTGGAACAAATTGCTTCATGCGGAGATGTCCTGTCTTACAAAGTAGCCCCAAAGAGAGGATGTCAAAACAATCTCCAGCACGTAAGAGGGCTGAGAATGGCTTTTCAGCTCCCTGCTAAATATCCAGTGAGATAACTTGTGCCAGTAGATCTGGTCAAAGCCCCAGGTTTCCAGAGCCTGACGAGTATATGCTGAAACACCACAGGAAAAGAAAAAGGACAACTCTTTTCCCCTTCCTCCTCGCCAAATGTCTGCCCCAAAAAGTTACCTTCAATGGTATTAAAGGTGGACCACAACTGGTCTGTGCCTATGGGAAATCCTCAACAGCCTTTAACTGTATTCTGCTCAGTCTCACACCCTGGAGATGCCAGGGATTTGCTAAGCGGCTCACTAGCAGCAAGGCTTTCATGAACATCAGATCCCAAGTGCAGATTGCTTTCATAGTGACACTCACTAGACCCAACTGCACTCCCATGTTTTCTTCTGCAGACAAGAGACTCGGAGCCAGCTCCCTTCACACTCTTGGCCACCTGCCCTTTTGGTTCCCAAGCCAGGCCAGTCGCTTTGTCTTTGCAGTTTTCACTGTGTTATCTAAAACCATTTTCCTTAGGCAGGTTCTCACTCCTTTACACTCACTGGAGAGAGACAAGATAGGTGCAGGGGCTGGGAAGTTGCAATTATCCCCTTGCAGTGATCATCACCTTAGCTGCCAGCCTGCACAGATGGGCAGAACAGTCATAAAGAATGTAATCGGGATTGCAACATTTCATGAAAGCTTTAACATACTCCAGCAGCCTCCTGCTTGATGACATGCAGATAAAAAAGTGTTGACAAGAGACTAATTTTAGCACAGTGCTTTATTAATCCTGTTGCTGAAGGGCAGGAGCAGAAGAGTGCTCTCAGGTGAGCAGC